CAAAATAAAATATTATTTAAAAAAACACCAAATAGGGAAATGTACAAACTGTAGCATTGGTTTGTTGGGTTTGGGGCAACCTCTCTCTTTGGAAGAAAGACTTGGCCATCTGCTCCTAAAAGATTACAACCTAGAAAACCCTGTGGGACAGTTCTGCTCTGTCACATGGGGTTGCTATGATTTGAAATTGACTCCACGATACCTAACAACAACAGTGTTTACAGGAGCAGATCACCAGGTCTTTCTCCCTAGGAGCTGCTGAGTGGTTTCAAACCAGCAATCTTTTGGTTAGCAGCTGAGCACTATTTGCAGTAGAAGTTTAAATGTCCACTTCCCCTATTCAACTCTAATTAATCCCTTTGAGGCTTCCAAGCACCTCATGCAGCTGTTCACTCCCCATACCTTGTTTGAAGGGGCTCAGATATTTGTTCAGTTTGTTAAACTGAGTGCTTTGGCCCTAGGGCCTTTCCCAGAGCTTGTTTTGACTTGTTCGTTATGGAATTCTATAAAAGTTTGTTTTAATTCACCTCTTCCTACTGAGGAACCCTGGTGGCACAGTGGTTAAGAGCAGCTTGGCTGCTAACCAAAAGGTCGGCAGTTGGAATCCACCAGCCGCTCCTTGGAAACCCTATGGGTCAGTTCTTCTCTGTCCTGTAGGGTCACTGTGAGTCAGAATAGACTTGACAGAAACAGGTTTTGTTTTGTTTTTTTCTTCCTGCTGAAAGGCTGGTCCCCAAAACAACAAAAGCAAAACACGTTTAGAAGGGCCGATTTGAGGGTTCTTATTTGGCTTCCACTAAGAGTTTTAGGCTGAGGTGACACAGAGGTGTGAGTGTCAGCCAGATCATTTTGCTTCTCCTCCATCTGCATCCTTACCAGCTGCTTGGAAATGGACACTCACTGAATGCCTGCTGCACACCAGGCACTCTGGCTTCCTGTGCTCACAGGAGGCTAAATGGTATGGGAGATAATGAAGAGCAGAGGAAGCTAAGGAGAATTCATTGATTTTTTTTCCTGTAAAATTTCTGTCTTCTGGCTTTCTTCCTCTCTTTTTTAAATTATGCAGCATTGCCAAATCAGATGATTTCATTGTCTTCCTGGGGTTGTCAGATAGGGAGAGGCCTGATGCACAGATTAAGTCAGCCTCTCACCCAGAACCATAGCTTCTGGGAGCTGCTGGGAGATTGATTTGCCTGGTGGGTTTTGCTCTTCCTTGACTGATATTCCTCCCTTTCTTGTTAAGCCCAGGCAGCACTAACAGGGTCCCCTCAAACACTTGCCCTCTGCCAAGACTCTCTTACCCTGCTCTTTGTCAGGACAAGAGGGCCATATTTTTCTCTTGTGCTCTGCCTTGAACTGGGGACAGCCTCTTAGCAATGCTGACCTTGACATACTCCAGTTTGTTTCCTTTGTGAAACCTTCATAGATAAACATAAAAGAATTTTTTTTTGTACTAAGTTTATTTTACCATACTAGGGTTGCTATACTGTTGGCATAATCTAAGGGATCTCTCCACCTCCAGTTCGTCTTGTGCCAAATTCAGATCTTTTTGTGATGCTTCCCTTCTCAAGAACTTCCAGGCTTCTCTCTTCCTTTGAATATAGTATAAAAACCTCCTGTTGGATTCAAGGCCCCCTACAAAATGGTTTCATTGCCCATCACATTTTTTTAAGCCAAATTTTCTTCATTATATTATTACAACCTAGTTAACCTAGGCTGCTTGACTTTCTCTGGGCTTTACCTACTCTTTCCTGCTTCAGTGCATTTGCCTCAAACTACTACCTCCCTTTCCAATGAATAAAGCTCCGTCTGAAATACAGCTTCCTCTGTGGAGCCTTTCCTAGTCTCCCCCACACAAGATGTGATCACACCAGCTTTGAGCTTCCTGTCTTGTGGCACTAATCACACTCTTTGACATGAATTAGAATAAATCCGTGTGTAGAGTGTCTCTGGAAGACTACAGAAGAAACTGGTGCAGTACCTTTGGGGAGAGGAACTGAGTGACTAGAGGACAGGAGAGGGGTTTACTTTTCACTGTCCACCCTTCTTTTTGAATTTTATACTGTGTACATATATTTCCTATACCAAAAAACAAAATATTATTTAAATAACAAAACTCCAATCCATAAAATATTAGAAGAAAATGTCAGAGTATGTTTATAATCTCAGAATAGTGAAAATGTCCTTAAACAAGACACAAAACCTCGAAGCCATACAGAAAACTAATTTTTAAATTGTGTGGGCTTATTTGTCATATCCCTGTTTGGCTCCAGGTACTTGAAGTGCTTATCTTTTTATGCTTTTTTAGAGCTTAGCACAGTAATCAATAAATATTAGTTGAATTGAAATTAAATTGAATTGCAAGACAGTTCTCTGTAGACCTCACTTTTTTACCTATAAAAATGAGTGCTAGATGACCTCCAAGGTCCTTCTCAAAGACTCTGTGCAGATGTGGGCTTTATAGGCAGAAAACCCCAGCAAAGCAGGGAGTGACTTTTGAACCACCCACTCTTCCTCTGGACCATCTTTCCCAGCCCATGTGTGATGCAGCCTGCTTTCAGGGGCTGACCTGCAGCACTCAGCATTCACTGTGCAGAGGAAATGAACCAATTAGACATAGTTCAAGGGGATCCAGAAAATAAGTCAAGGGGATCTGTGGCAGTCTTGTTGCCCTGAATAAAAGAGGGAAAGTAAAAGGGCGAAGCAGCTTGCTGAGGTTTCTTCAGACATTCAGCTGGCCAGCTCTTTGAACTACTTGGTCACAGTTTAAAGAGGTATCAGAGGGAATGTTTGCATCTGTGTCCCTTCTGTTCCAGACGTTAGGTAAGGTGGGCAGTGTAGGGAAAAGATGTGTCCTCAGAGGGAGCTTCTTTGGATCCAGCTACTGGTCTCAGAGAAGCTTCCCAGCCTTCTCCTCTGGATCCCTGTGGCACCTACTCCGGCTTTGTTTTAGCAGCTTTTTTTAAAAAACGGGGTCTTTTTTCCCATCTAAATTATAAGCAGCTCAAGGGCAGGAGGCCGTCGTATCTTTTTTGATTTGGTATCCCCCTCAGCCTGGCTGGCAGTCACCTTGCTTAATGGCTGTTTGTAGATGGAAGGGAAGTGATATTTGGTGCACAAGGCTGTGTGTTTCAGGGCACGTCTGCATGAGCACGCACTCAGCCTTGTGAATGGCAGACACCTTATGCTGGGTGTCACAGACATGGTAGTGTGACGTCCAGTCATTCCAGGCCTGTTAGAGGAAGGGAAAAAAGAAAATGACAGTTCTTATTCTCATAGAGATGTCCTTGTGATAGTCACGATGAGGGCAGGGCCGCAAGAGGGTATTTGTCAGCAAAATCGAGTTTCCTTTGGAAAACTTTCATTCTTTCTTGTATTAGCAAGGCTTTTGGAAAGTTAAAGTTTGCGGGAGCCTGGCCATCCTGCCAGCATATCTTCTCCCCCTGCTCAGACTTCCAAACAATGGTCCCTTAGTGCCCCCACTGTGTCCTTCCTGTGTGAACTGGGCACACCCAGCAATCTGGTTCCTGGGGGCTTCAATTTTGCAGTGTCTGACCATGGTCGGAAGGGCAGGCTGTGGGATCAGCGGCTGCCCTTCTCCCTGGGATTGCTCAGTCCTTCCGGCTCCTCTGACTTCTCATCACTGCAGCTTCACTAGGCCACACTTAGGCACCCTGCCCCCATCTCCCTAACTGACCTGTTTAAAGGGGAGGTGTCTTAGTCATCTAGTGCTGCTATAACAGAAATACCACAAGTGGATGGTTTTAACGAAGAGAAATGTATTTCCTCACAGTCAAAGTAGGCTAAAAGTCCAAATTCAGGGTGTTGGCTCCAGGGGAACTCTTTCTGTCTCCGTTGGCCTTCTCATCAGTGTTCCCCCGGACTAGGAGCTTCTTGGCGCAGGGACCCCTGTCCAAAGGATGCGCTCTGCTCCTGGCACTGCTTTCTTGATGGTATGAGGTCCCCCTGTCTCACTGCTCACTTCTGTCTTTTTATATCTCAAGAGATTGCCTCAGAACACGATCCAGTCTTGTAGATCAGGTCCTGCCTTACTAACACAGCCGCCACCCATCCTCCCTCATTAACATCATAGAGGCAGGTTTACAACATACAGGAAAGTCACACAGTACCAGGAATCATGGCCTAGCCAAATTGACACGCACATTTTTTGGGGGACGTAATTCAAACCATGACAGGAGGGGTAACCTTGGCACTCATACCCCCCTTAAGGCCCACTCAGCTCATGGGACAGAAGCAGTATCTGCTGGTGGAAGGAGCACAGGTTTTTTTCATCAGACTTGACTCTGATCCCAGGTCTGCCATTTACCTCGCTTTAACTTTTGTTGGACCTCAGAGTCCCATCTTCACAGGGGAATAATGGTAGTAGGTGAAGGTGCTTTTAAACCTAGACAGTCCTGCCTAAATGAAAAATGTGGGGTTTACTACGGGATAGAAGGATGCCAATGACTAGTCAGTGAATGGAGGATGCACAGAGGGCCTGGGAAGCCTCCCAAGGAATACATCCGAAATCCCCTCTGAGACCGAGAATGCACATTGTTATTATACTGTGGAATCCCTTTCTGGCATTGATATTGGAAAGAAGGCCAACATTTCCCCCTCACAGGTTAACAGTATTTTACTGCCTTTCACCGTGTTCATGATGTGTTTGGGAGGTTTTTATTAAAACCATATTATGTCTAGATCTCTATAGGTTCAAGACATTGTCAGAGTCTATTGCTCAATTATAGATGCAGTTCTCTTAAGGCACAGTGGGGAGGAAGAGGAGAAATGCTGCAAGCAGCCAAACTTCCCCTGTTGCCAGCCAGTGGACTTCACTCTCTGTCAGTGGAAACCTGAATCTCCAGGGTCTGACCAACAAGCCTTTCCAAGGGAATGGCTCTTTGTTTGTCATGTGTTTCCAGTTGAGGCCGTCACAATGTCTCCCTCCATGTCACTGGACAACCTCACAGTGTACCATTGCTCTCTCTTTGTCTTTGCAGTGTGCCCCCGGCCCCCAGAGCCAGAGAATGGTGGCTATATCTGCCACCCCCGGCCCTGCAGAGACCCCCTGACAGCGGGCAGTGTCATCGAGTACCTGTGTGCTGAAGGCTACATGTTGAAGGGTGATTACAAATACCTGACGTGTAAGAATGGCGAATGGAAACCAGCCATGGAGATTAGCTGCCATCTTAACGAGGGTCAGTCTAGCAGATGGGAAAGGGATGCTGTGGGGGTTCTGCTTTCTTCTAACTCACGGGCAGTGACACGTTTCCTCCAGAGCACCATTTTCTATGGAGCAGTATAGCCTATTTGGTGACCTTCAGCCCCCCTTCCTTTGGGATTCTGTGTCTTTGTGAAAGACATTTAGGGTTGCTGGTGTGTGCCCCGTTGCATGTCAGCTGATCCATGGGGCAGCTCAGTGGCTTTACTGAGGCATCTGCCCTGCTGTGTAAAGTCCCTCTGATACTCAGGATCTCTTGTCTGCCTAGCCAAGTCCTGGTGATCTTCGACCAGTTCTGCTAACACAGTGAGCTCAATGCTAACACCTTCTAGTGTCTCTTTTATTTTATTTTTCCTTGAATGGAAATGGACTGTTTTGTTATGAAGCTAGAGTCCATCTGGACAGAGACCTCTTCCCCTCCTGCCTTCTCCTGTCTTGCATGACAGGAAAACCCAGCTGCCTGCAGGAAGGTGTGTCATACAAACATTTTTGTGCTTCACAGTCAGGCTTTGAGACCAGAGCATGTGACACACCAGAGAAAGCCCTGAGCTGGGAATTTACATCTGAAGCTCCAGGACCTTAGGAGACAGGGGGTTATTATAGCCCAATTCTTATAGACTTTCCTGCCAATGGTGAGAAACACGGGTAGAACTTAAGATGGTGAAATGATGTGCCCATTTAAATGGTTGATGTTTACCAACCTGCTATTGAGTTTGGATCGGAAGTGTTTTATGAAGGTAAGATCTCCAGGGTTAAATGAGTTTAGGTGTCACGTGGATCTCAAAGGCCAGAGGTGAAGGGAATTTTATATTTAGGAAACAGGATAGGGAAGTGGCCCCTTTCCAGAAGCAACACGTGTCCATAGACTGCTATACGCTCTTATTCCTGAAATGGCCCGGGTTGTAGGATGTCTCTGTATGGCACCATGCAGGGGGTATTTGACAAGATCTATGTGGCTCATGTTTCATGTGTCTGGGTAGAAAATGCTTCTGATGATGGTTTGTTTCCATAGAAAAAGATGCCCACACATCACTTGGGGCCCCTACACTGTCCATAGTGGCTTCCACTGCCAGCTCCGTGGCGCTCATTCTCCTCCTTGTGGTGCTGTTTGTCCTGCTGCAGCCAAAGCTGAAGTCTTTCCATCACAGCAGGTGAGCCTGGCAGGCATTGCTGGGGGGCTGGCCTTCGACTGGCAGAGGGTTGCTGGGGGGCTGTCAGCCTCTGCTGGTCTGTGTGTGCCCAGGGGAAGGGGAGAGCCCTGTCATATACTAAACTTCTGGATGTGCCTGGGACTGTGCTCTTTGCTTTGCATACGTTATCTTAATCCTCACAGGAACCTTGTTGATAAGGAAACTGAGGTTCACTCACTCACCCAAGGTCGTGTCTCTAGATGATGACAGCTGAAATTTGAACCCAAGTCTCTCTACGTCTTAAGCCAATTTTGTTTCCCGTATATCAGTGGTTCTCAAAGTGTGGTCCCCAAATCAGCAGTATCAGCATCACCTGGGAACTTGTTAGAAATGCAACTTCTCAGGCTCCATCCCAGACCTACTGATTGAGAACTTCTGGAAACCCAGCAATATGTTTTAACAAACCCTTTGGATGATTCTGAGGCATGCTCATGTTTGAGGGCTACTGCCCTGTACACCTGGTTCTCAGTCCTCACTGCACATAGAGTCACCTAGGGTGCATTAAAAACAAATACCCAAACCTGGGCCTCCATCCTCAACATTCTGGTTTATTTGGTTCGGAAAATAAGCATTTTTTCACAAACTTCCCAGGTGGCTCTAACGTGCAGCCAGGATTGAGAACCACTGCATGACACTGTACTGGAAACAGAAGAGGTGGGTTTTCTTGCTGCCTTTGTCACTTTGTACATTAGCCACAAAATCATCCCAGGCTGGGATGGGTGAGGTGGGTGTCAAACGGTGGGAGCTTGGCCCTGAGTAGTCCACTAATGATGGACTTCTTCTAGCTCATCACAGCTTCTGGAATTGCTTGGGTCGTCCTCATTCCCTCAGGAGTTTTATGTTCATTCACACTCCTTCCATGTCCTGCTCATCAGTCACTGTCATCATGCACAGGCACAAAGTACCAAACTAAACCACATTAAGTAACATGCTGCGAGCTGGAATTTACACACAAGGACCAAGCTCCAGTTAGTCTCTGTGTGCTATGTGTGATCTTTCTCTCTTTTTTTAGTTTTGTTTTGAGGGTAGCAGTTATTTTTGAAGGTTGTTAAACGATAGAATAAAGAGGATTTGAAGGGGACTCTGCTTGAATTAACTATTTCCACATAAAGTCAAACCAATCTGTTTTGTATTTCATCTATATTAGGAATCCCCCCCTTGCAGTTAACTAGCAAGTCTGTTAAAAGTGACTGGCTGATTTTGACTGACTTGAGTAGAAGGGAGATTTGGTTTTCATTATTTACCTTGTTTCAGTTTTGTATCATGTACACATATTACATTTTAAACAACAAAAAAAATTTTGAATAATAAAAGTTCATGCATGCCAGTATGCACGCTGCTTTCTGTGCCACCTTGCCATCAGTGCTTCCCTTCCTTCCAAAAATCTCTGAGCACTGCTACAGTGCCACTTCTCTCATCCTCATAGTGTATACACTATTTGAATTAGGCAGTAGAGATTTTACGTCCAGGAACAGATAAGGAAGTTGAGAACTAATAACAATAGTCTAGCAATAACAACAATATGGTCTAGGAATAGACCACATGGATCTTCTGATGTGATGCACTGAGGAACATCACTTATGTAATGTTCTTGGCATAAATTTATCTCACAATAGCCAGAAGGTGGAAACAACTCAGTGTCCATCAGCAGATGAAAGGATAAACAAAATGTGGCATATACGTACAATTGAATGTTAATTCCACCATAAAAAGGAATGAAGTTCTAATACGTGAGGCAACATGGATGAGCCTTGAAAACATGCTAAGTGAAATAAGTCAGACACTAAAAGACAAATATTGTATGATCCCATTTTATATGAAATATTTATAATAGATAAATGCATAGAGACAGAAAGTAAATCAGTGGTTAATTTAGGCTGGGGGGAAGAGAATGAGAAGTTAGTGCTTAATGGGTACAGAGTTTCTGTTTGAGGAGAGGAAAAGTTTTAGAAACAAATAGTGGTGATGGTTGCACAACACTGTGAGTGTGACTAATACCACTGAATTGTATACTTGAAAATGGTTAAAATGGCACATTTTCTATTGTGTATATTTTACCACAATTAAAAATAATAAGTGAAAATCTAGGGGGGAAACTAAACTGAATGTAATCCTGAGGACACTTTCAGACAAATATACATTGTGGAAAATTCTGAGACAACTGGCCTGGACTCTTCAAAAAATGTCAGTGTTGTGAAGAAAGAAAAAGATAGTGGACTATTCTAGATTAAAGGAGATAAAAAGAGACATGATAACTGTGATAGTTGGGATTGTGTGTCACCTTGGCCAGGCCGTGATTCTCAGTGTTTATATGTGATCACTCCCATGATGGAATCTGCTGTGAGTGGCCAGTCAATTGAAAGGGAGTTTCCTTGGGGGTGTGGCCTGGATCCGAATATAAGCAGAGGTTCTGGCTTTTTGCTCACTCTGGATCTTGCGGCTGCCTCCTGTTCGTCTGACCTCCAGTTCTTGGGACTTGAGCTAGCAGCGTGTCTGTCGATCTTGGGATTCGTTGATCTTCACAGCCTGTAGGCGGGAACGCTGCTCGCCGACCTGCCAATCTTGGGTTCACCAGCCCTTGCAGCTACGTAAATTGAGAGAAGCCTCTATCCTGATCCACAGACTTGGGACATTCCAGCCTCTGCAATCAAGTGAGCCGTTTCTTTGATATAAATCTCTCTCTGTATATATTTATATGCTTTAGTGGTTTTGCTTCTCTAGAGAACCCAGCCTAAGACATTTGGTACCGAGACTGGTTCTAGAGAAACAAAATGGTAAGGATGAGTTTTCTGAATTGCTTCTCAAGTCTGGTTAGTCTTAAAGATGTTGATGACTCTGCTTCCAGCAGTAAAGAGGGCACTGCTAATCCATGCCGTGAGGTGGCGATAACAGATATGAAAAATATCACCACCAGTAGCTCAGGTAGTAGTGAAAGGCGAGTCTCTGGGTGAACACATGCATGATATCTTTCTACAGTTTTGTCAGAATGAGAAATATAAGGAAGCTGTTTGGTTGGTCCTACTTTGGCTAGACAAACTGGTGAAAGAGATGCACTCAGGGCTTCGGAGTCAAAGGTCAAGTGCCGCATACATGACCTCAAGGCTTCCACTTGTGCTTTTAAAGAAAGCCTTATTTCTTACAGTAACAGAGCTGCAACTGCAGAAAACCAAACCCAGAGTCTTATTGTAAGAGTGACTGAATTACAATGCTAGCTCAATTGCCAACCTTGAGAGGTGTCTGAAGTTTAGGTAAGGACACTGATTGGGAAGAAATGGGATCCTGAAACTTGGGATGGGGACATATGGGCAGATAATCAGGAAACGGGACACTGAGCCCCTAAATTCCATTGCATCACTCCTGCCAGCAGAACCACTTCCATCTGAAGAGATTACTTCATGTTTGTCTGCTAAACCACTCTGCCCAGAAAAACCATTAGCCCCTCCACTCACATCTAATGAGATTAGCCCTAGCCCAGCTGCCTCTAAAGAGCCCTTGCCTGAGTCATTGCCTGGGACATCGCCTGAGGCAGATGCTTTACAAGACAATGCTGAATCTTCTTGAAACAATTCCACACTACCGATTCTGGCTTCTAGACCTATAACTAGACTTAGGTCCCAGCGAGCCCCAGAAGGTGAAGTACAAAGTGTGACCCAGGATGAGGTATGCTATGCTCCAAAAGAACTGCTTGACTTTTCTAATATGTACAAACAGAAACCTGGGGAATATGTGTGGGAATGGCTATTAAGGGTGTGGGATAATGGTGCAAGGAACATAAAGATGGATCATTCTGAGTTTATTGATATGGGTCCACCAAATACAGATTCTTCATTCAGTGTTTCAGCTTAAGAAGTTAGGAAAGGATCTAATAGTTTATTTGGCTGGGTTGCTGAAGCATGGATTATGAGGTGGCCTACACTAAATCAAATTGAAGTACCAGACCTGCCTTGGTATACTGTAGAAGAAGGTATCCAAACGCTTAGGGAAATTGGCATGCTAGAGTGGATTTATCAGGTTAGACTCACAGACCCACACATGGAGTGCCAGAGGACACACCTTTTACCACAACTGTAGGGAACAAATTTGTGAAGGGAGCCCCAGCATCCTTGAAGACTGCTGTGATTACTGTCTTATGTAAATCAGATTTGACAGCAGGAACTGCCCTAACTGAATTAAGACACGTAACTACAATGGGGCCGATTGGACCCCGTGGTAGTAGGGACCAAGTGGTGGCACTCAGTCAACAAAGGCAAGGTGGGCGTGGTTACAGTAAGGGACAGCAGAGTCAAAGCCATAATCAGAATAGTCTGACTGGTATGGACTTATGGCCTTGGCTACTTAGTCATGGTTTCCCTGGGAGTGAAATAGATAGGAAATCTACTAAACATTTACTTGATTTGTACAAACCAGTGAATTCTAGGTCAGGTGAACAGCAGTCTAACTCGAATCACCAGAATAGAGAGTCACCGTCCCTCAATCAATTCCCAGATTTGAGCAAGTTTAAAGACCCACAACCCCTTGAATGAAGGGGAGGCTGGGTCCCCTTGAGAAAGGACTCTAATACATTGCCAAAAATTTTTACTATTAATCTTTCTCCCAGCCTTCCATAGAGGGATCTGTGGCCTTTTAAGAGAGTGACTGTTGATATGGGGAAAAGGAAATAATCAGACTTTTGGGGGATTACTGGAACTGGCTCTGAGCTGACACTAATTCCAGGAGACCCAAAATGTCACGATGGCCTACCAGTCAGAGTGGGGGCATATGGAGGTCAGGTTATTAATGGAGTCAAAAGCCAAGTGGAAGCCATTAGAACTGCCCGCACCTAGGAAAATAGTAAACGAAAAGCACTAATGCTTTCCTAGAGGAATTGCAGAGATTACTGCCACCATCAAGGACCTGAAGGATGCAGAGGTAGTGATTACCACCACATCCCCATTCAACTTGCCTATTTGGCCTGTGTAAAAAACAGGTGGATCTTGGAAAAGAACAGTAGATTATTGAAAACTTAACCAAGTGGTGACACCAGTTGCAGCTGCTGTTGCAGATGTAGTTTCATTGTTTGAGCAAATTAATACTCCGGGTACCTAGTATGCAGCTATTGATCTGGCTAATGCCTTTTTCTGCATACTTGTTTCAAAGGACCATCAGAAGCAGTTTGCCTTCAGCTGGTAAGGCCAGCAGTACACCTTCAGTTGCCTACCTCAGGGCTACATCAGCTCTACAGCCCTATGTCATAATTTCGTCTGTAGGGACCTTGATTGTCACAAGACGTCACATTGGTCCATTACATTGATGACATTATGTGATTGGACCTAGTAAGGAAGAAGTGTTAATGACTCTGGACTTACTGGTAAAACATTAGCGTGCTAGAGGGTGGGAAATTAATCCCACAAAAATTCAGGTACCTTCCACCTCAGTGAAATTTCTAGGGGTCCAGTGATGTGAGGCATGTCAAGATATTCCTTCTAAAGTAAAGGGTAAGTTATTGCGTCTGGCTGCTCCCACAACTAAAAAGGAGGCACAATGCCTAGTAGGCCTCTGGATTTTGGAGGCAACATATTCCTCATTTGGGTGTGCTACTTTGGACTGTTTATCAAGTGACTCGAAAAGCTGCTAGTTTTGAGTGGGGCCCAGAACAAGAGAGGGCTCTGCAACAGGTTTAGGCTGCCGTGCAAGCCGCTCTGCCACTTGGGCCATATGATCTAGCTGATCCAATGGTGCTTGAAGTGTCCGTGGCAGGTAAAGATACCATTTGGAGTCTTTGGCAGACCCCTATTGGTGAATCACAGTACAGACCCTTAGGATTTTGGAGCAAAGCCCTGCCATCCTCTGCAGATAATTACTCTCCTTTTGAGAAACAGCTTTTGGCTTGTTACTGGCCTTAGTAGAGACTGAACACTTAAGCATGGGACACCAAGTCACCATGCAGCCAGAGCTGCCCATCATGAACTGGGTGTTATCTGACCCACAGAGTCATAAAGTTGAACGTGCACACTCGCACCCCATCATTAAATGGAAGTGGTATATAAGAGATGGGGCTCGAGCAGGACCTGAAGGTACAAGTAAGTTGCATGAGGAAGTGGCCCAAATGCCTGTGGTCTCCACTCCTGTCACATTACCTTCCATCTCCCAGTCTGCACCTATGACCTCATGGGGAATTCCTTATGATCAGTTGACTGAAGAAGAGAAAACTCGTGCCTGGTTTACAGATGGTTCTGTGTGATATGCAGGCACCATGCACAAGTGGACAGCAGGAGCACTACAGCCCCTTTCTAGGACCTCCCTGAAGGACAGTGGTGAAGGGAAATCCTCCCAATGGGCAGATCTCTGAGCAGTGCACCTGGTTGTTCACTTTGCTTGGAAGGAGAAATGGCCAGACATTCAATTGTATACTGATTCCTGGGCTGTGGCCAATGGTTTGGCTGGATGGTCAGGAACTTGGAAGGAACATGATTGGAAAATGGGAGACAAAGATTTATGGTGAAGAGGTATGTGGATAGATCTCTCTGAATGGGCCAAAGCAAAGAAGTGAAGATATTTTTGTCTCATGTGAATGCTCTCCAAAGGGTGACCTCAGCAGAGGATGATTTTAACAATCAAGTGGTTAAGATAACGCGTTCTGTGGAAGCCAGACATTCTCTTTCCCCAGCTACTTCTGTATTGCTCAGTGGGCTCGTGAGCAAAGTGGCCATGGTGGTAAGGATGGAGGTTATGCATGGGCCCAGCAACACGGACTTCCACTCACCAAGGCTGACTTGGCTACAGCCACTGTTGAGTGCCCAATCTGCCAGCAGCAGAGACCAACAGTGAGTCCCCAGTGTGGCACCATCCCTACAGGTGATCAGCCAGCAACCTGGTGGCAAGTTGATTATGTTGGACCATTTCCATCATGGAAAGGGCAGCGTTTCATCCTTACTGGAATAGATACTTACTCTGGATATGGATTTGCCTTCCCTGCACACAGTGCTTCTGCCAAAACTACCATCCGTGGACTTACAGAATGCCTTATTTACCGTCATGGTATCCCACACAACGTTGCCTCAGATCAAGGGACTCACTTCACAGCAAATAAAGGGTGGCAGTGGGCCCATGCTCATGGAACTCACTGGTCATACCGTGTTCCCCATCATCCTGAAGCAGGTGGCTTGATAGAACAGTGGAATGGCCTTGTAAAGACACAATTACGGCGCCAGCTAAGTGGCAATACCTTGCAGGGATGGGGCAGTGTTCTCCAGGAGGGTGTATATGTTCTAAACCAGTGTCCAGTATATGGTGCTGATTCTCCCATAGCCAGGATTCATGGGTCCAGGAATCAATGGGTAGAAATGTGAGTGGCACCACTCACTATTACCCCTAGTGACCCACTCGCAAGATTTTTGCTTCCTGTCCTGCGACCTTATGCTCTTCAGGTCTAGAGGTCTTGGTTCCAAAGGGAGGAATGCTCCCGCCTGGAGACACATCACTGATTCCATTGAACTGGAAGCTAAGAATGCCACGTGGACAGTTTGGGCTCCTTATGCCTCTGGATCAACAGGCAAAGAAAGGAGTTACCATACTGGCTGGTGTGATTGATCCTGATTACCAAGAGGAAATCAGATGGATATTATATAATAGAGGTAAAGAAGAGTATGTCTGGAATGCAGGAGATCCCTTAGGGCGTCTATTAGTACTAACATGCCCTGTGATTAAAGTCAGTGGAAAACTACGGCAACCTAATTCCGACATGACTACTAATGACCCAGACCCTTTAGGAATGAAGGTTTGGGTCACCTCACCAGGCAAAGAACCACGACCAGCTGAGGTGCTTGCTGAGGGCGAAGGGAATAGAGAATAGGTGGTGGAAGAAGGTAATTCTAAATACCAGTTATGGCCACATGACTAGTTGCAGAAATGAGGACTGTAATTGTTATGAGTATTTCTGCTTAGTGTGCATCAAATATTTTTGTTTTCTTATAAAATATAAGATGTAAACAGGGCTAGTGCATTTTCAGTTTTACGTGTGTTAGTTGTATCATGTTAGGTGCAAGTATGACTTTATAATTGTCTTTATTCAGAGATTATGTATGGTTTAGGTTGATGTGTACATGTGCAGCAGTTGACAAGAGGTGGACTGTGAGAGCTGGGATTGTGTGTCAACTTGGCTGGGCCATGATTCTCAGTGTTCATATGTGATTACTCCCATGATGGAATCTGCTGTGAGTAGCCAGTCAGCTGAAAGGAAGTTTCCTTGTGGGTGTGGCCTGCATCCGAATATAAATAGAGGTTCTGGCTTTTTGCTCATTCTGGATCCTGTGGCTGCTTTCTGTTCGTCTGACCTCTGCTTCTTGGGACTTGAACTACCAGCTTATCTGTCAATCTTGGGATTCGTCGATCTTCACAGCCTGTGAGCAGAAGCCCTGCTCTCCGACCTGCCAATCTTGGGTTCACCAGCCCCTGCAGCTACTTGAATCGAGAGAAGCCTCTATCGTGATTCACGGATTTGGGACATTCCAGCCTCTACAATTGCGTAAACCGTTTCCTTGATATAAATCTCTCTCTGTATATATTTATACACTTCACTGGTTTTCTTCTCTAGAGAACCCAGCCTAAAACAGTAACTAAATGCAACACATGATCCTTAATTGGGTCCTGAATTGAAACAAAGAAGACAACAGCTGAAATGAATATATTTTTGGACAGTTGGGAAATTTTGTATTGTAGTATTAATATACCAATGTTAAATTTCTTGGATGTGATAATGTAGTTATATAGGAAAGGAATTTCCTTATTCTTAGGAAGTGCATGCTAATTAATGTCTTCAGCTTACTTTCAAATTATCCAGAAAAAGTTATGTATATAGATATATATATACACACACACATAGACAGAAGCAATCCAAAAAGAAGGTGTCCGCATGAATAAATCTTGCAAACATAATGTTGAGCAGAAGAGGCAAGACACACACACACACTGTATGAGCCCATTCATATAAAGATAAAAAATATGCAGAACTAAATTGTAATGTTGAAGGATTCGTGTTTAGGTAGTAACACTATTAAAAAGCAAAGAAGGATTTCCATGAAAATCAGACTAGTGGTTACTTTTTGTGGTGAGGAAACGAGAAGTGATTGGGGCAGGTACAAGGACGTCTAGGGTGCTGGCAGAGTTCTATTTCTTGATCTGGGTAGGAGTTATACACCAGTGTTACCATTGGCATAAATCAGTGATCTGTGCATTTTTCTGTGTATTCTTTTCTCTCTCTCTAATTCACATATACTTTTAAAATAGTTTAACAAGTTAAAAAAAAAAGTGGCTGAGTCAAAAGAAGGAATTTCTTCTCATTTCCAGTCCAGTATCCCATTTCAAGACCACAGGACTTCCCTCACTTTTTTATCCTAGCTATGTTGAATGAAACAGCCTTATTTCCGGCTAGGTTCATAGTTTTGCACAGAACTAAGTGCTGGGTGCCCAGAGGTTAAGAACACAGTCTCTGGAGACAGGTAGAGCTGTACTTGAATCCCAGCTCCATCTCTTACCAGCTGTGTGACTTCTGGCCAAGTTCCTTAACTTATCTGAGCCTCATCTTCATTCCTGGTGAATCTCTATCTCAAAGGGTTCAGGTGAGGATTCAGTGTTAAAAATCATCTAAAGCACTTAGTGCTATTATGTCTGTATTTACTTTAATTCTTCTTTTGTTTTTTCCTTCTCTGGATCCAGGCGTGACCAGGGGGTGTCTGGGGACCAGGTCTCCATTATGGTGGATGGTGTCCAGGTTGCATTGCCATCGTATGAAGAGGCCGTGTATGGCAGTTCCGGTCACTGTGTGCCGCCCGCTGACTCCAGAGTGCAGATTGTGCTGTCAGAAGGGTCTGAGCCAAGTGGGAGGAGCGTGCCCAGGGAGCAGCAGCTGCAGGACCAGGGCGCCTGCTCATCTGCAGGTGGAGAGGACGAGGCCCCTGGCCACTCTGGACTATGTGAAGCTTGGGGCTCTCGGGGCTCAGAGACTGTGATGGTGCATCAGGCAACCACCTCTTCCTGGGTGGCCGGCTCAGGGAACAGCCGCCCCACACACAAAGAAGCCCCGGATTCTGAGAGCAGTGACATACAAAGCCTTTTATCCCTCACATCAGAGGAGTACACAGATGGTAGGTGGTCTGTGCTGATCACAAATTGTGAGCTGTTCAGGGTCCTTGCTGAGAGTGAGGAAGGACTGCGAGCCTTTCTAATAATGACCCCCCACTGACTTCATTGGGGCAAAGAAAAATAGCACCTGGGGTGGGAGAGATGGTCTTTCTCTCTTCCAGCAAAGTAGGATTTCACCCTCAGAGCACCAGGGAGGGCTTTGGGCTCTTTGTAGGGAGATTGTTCACTGCTGTCTGTGAATTTTGGTAGTTCGGAGCCTCAGAAACTGTTCATGGCCACAGGGCTGTGCTAAATCAAAGGGTGGACAGCTGGTTGGGGACAGGGGTATCTGTCCTCTGACTTTAATTTTTTGTTCCTGAAAGGCCAGGAATGACAAGGAGGCTTGGGATCATATTACAGAGAAAACAGGAGCCTTGTCTCTCTTTCAGAGGAAACAGCTACTTCATTTTAAATAGGAATAGGTGCCAGGTACTGTGCTGATTGGTTTTCTTGTAGTATCTCAGTTAAACTTGACAGTGATTCTGAGAAGTAGGTATTATTGTTGTTTTTGTTGAGTATTATTGTTGTGGTATTATTATTGAGCCATCAAGTTGGTTCTGACTCATAGAGACCCTGTGTACAACAGGACGAAACACTGCCTAATCCTTAACTTTCCTCACAGTCGTTGCTATGTTTGAGCCCTTTGTTGCAGCCACTGTGTCAGTCCATCTCATTGAGGGTCTTCCTCTCTTTTGCTGACCCTCTACTTTACCAAGCATGATATCCTTCTCCAGGAACTGGTCCTTCCTGACAACACGTCCAAAGTATGTAAAACGAAGTCTCACCATCCTCCCTTCTAAGGAGCATTCTGGCTGTACTTCTTCCAAGACAGATTTGTTCGTTCTTCTGGCAGTCCCTGGTATATTCAATATTGTTCGCCAACACCGTAATTCAAATGCATCAGTTCTTCTTTAGTCTTCCTTATTCATTGTCCAGCTTCCACATGCATATGAGGCGATTGAAAATACCATGGATTGGGTCAAGTACATCTTAGTCCTCAAGGTGACATCTTTGCTTTCTAACACTTTAAAGAGGTATTATTACCATCCCCATTTTACATATAAGGAAACTGAGGCTCAGAGAGAGTAAGTTACTTGCCCACTGGTAAGTGGCCGAGCTGAAGTTTGAAGCCAGACAGGTCTGGCTCCAAAGCCTGTGTTTATAACCCCACGGTACCATGCTGCCTCTCAGGAGATTCCAGCTCCTTTGTGGCAAAAAAGCCGTAGAATAAAAGTGTAACCTGCTGAAGCCCAGAGAGTTTAACTTTGGGATTGGCGTTGTCTCTTTTAAGAATACCTTTTAAGTGGAATCCCAGTATGGTTCAGGCTGCAGAATAAAGCTAGGTGCTTCCTTTTCACCTGTGAGGACTCCTGCATTCATAAAGCACCCCTAAAACAACCTTAGAGGAAACTCCATGTGTCCTGGGAATCCTGGCACAGCCAGTGTTAAAGATTTAGAATATCTGAAAGCAAAGAGTTGGAAATTCTTGAATGCAGATCATGTTTTTGGAGTTCCCTGGTACCAACAGCATGCATTCTTTTTTCTTGGTTGGATATAGAGATAAAACCTCAAACAAACCAGTTGCCGTCGAGTCGATTCTGACTCATAGTGACCCTGTAGGACAGAGTAGAACTGCCCCATAGAGTTTCCAAGGGAACATCTGGTGGATTCGACTGCCGACCTTTTGGTTAGCAGCTGTAGCTCTTAACCACTACGCCACCAGGTTTGGGATATGGAGATGAAACCAACCAAAAACCAAACCCGTTGCAGTGAAGTTGATTCCGACTCATAATGACCCTATAGGACAGAGTAGAACTGCCCCATAGAGTTTCCAAGGAGCTCCTAGTGGATTTGAACTGCCAAGTTTTTTGTTAGCAGCCATAGCACTCAACCACTCCACCACCAGGGTTTCCATAGAGATAGGAAGGAGCCATTTAATAGTTAACCCAGGTTTGAACGTGGAAGCCAGTGACCCCTACAGACAGTCAACCACACATACTGTAGATGTGGCCAAGTGCAAGTCTCAGCCCTTCTGCTCCCTAAAGAGCCAAGCTGGTCTCCTGCCCTTTCCCTTCTCCTCCTCCCCACATTACTTTGTTCTGTGTTGAACAGGCATTTTTGAGAGCCTGTCTTGTGTCATTTGCTGGGTTAGGTTTCAACGATGACGCAGAGAAATAAGAAACATGCTCTGTCAGTCAGTTGGGAAGATGGGGCCTGTGCTTGAGAAATAATGGGCCAGGAACTGTAGCATCCATGTCAAAATGAAGGATGCAGAAACAAGACACATAGGTTGTCAGAAGAAAGCAAGCTCGTTGCAGGCCATGCCAGCTGTCTGGGACCAAGAGAACCATAGGGAGGCAGGACTTTGAGGCATCAGTCTAACCCCCGTTGACACAGGAGGAGACAGACTCAGAGAGGGAGAGTGGTTTATCCAAGGTCACACAGCTGGTAGACAGCTTTAAGGAGGAGGTGGGACGTGAGCAGGACTTTGCATCCATGTAGGATGGGATTGAGGAGAGAAGGGGAAGTGACCAGCCAGTCAGAGCTAGAGCAGAGAGGAGGGTTCAGGTTGGTGGAAACAGAAGGGGTTTGCATGTCAGGCTGAATATTGAGATTTAAACACACAGGTGGTGTGAGAGATGAATGACAAAGGCCTAGAAAGAGGAGGGGGGTTTAAGCTACCTTGAAGTGTATGTGAGTAAGACATTTTATTTCTTTAGACTAGAGGCTGCATGGGGACCCTTGCTATGGGATCGGGTGTTCTGTAGAGAGACCCACGTGGGGTAACCGCTGTCCTCTCCTTCCCTCTTCCTGCAGATATTCCACTGTTGAAAGAAGCATGAGGGCTGCTGCCGGCCTCTCACCTCTCTGCAATGGTCCTCTGCCCTCCCTCCCTTGCCCTCTGGGTTTGAGCGCCCTGTGCTCTCCAGCCACTATGCCCGGATACCTGAGCTGCCACCCGTGTATCTGAGTATCTCTGAGGGCCTGCAGCCCTCCTAGCTGGAAACTCAAGGAAGATTCTCACTTATCTGCCTGCTGGACAGCTGGAGGAACTGGCTTTTTGCCTGGCCCTGCCCTCGCATCTGTGTCGGGGACGTATTTGAATGTGCTGGATTGAACCGTTCCTTTCCCTGAGCCCTCTGGGTCCCTTCCAGCCAGCTCTTTGGCGGCAGCCCCCACCAGCCCACCTGGGCCTGAGTGCCGCTGTGTTTACTTGTGCCTTCCCCTATCCCGTCCAGCTTCCCTGTCACACAGGCTTGTTGATGTCCTACAAGCCTTCGTGGCTGCAATGCTACCCCTAGCCATATAGGAGGCTGGGCCTGGATCTAGCCTGTTTCTTTGGAGGGCTGGCGCCGCTGTCCTGGGGAGGAGCAGATCCCAGATGAGAGTTCTGGAGTCGAGTGGCTCTAATTGGGCCAGTTGTTAGGGCCAGAAGCCTGGGTCCCTGGGCTTGCCCTGGGTTGACACTGTTGGTACATTTCCTTGGCTGAGGATGGAGGATTTGGAAAATCATGGCAATACCATCCCAGCTCCCTGGTATCTGGCTCAGAGGTTTAGGCTCCTGGCTTTGTTGGGTTGAGAAGATCCTGAGGGAGGGAAGGAGGATGACTAATAATGATTGTCTTCCTAATATGCAACTTCTTCACTTCCTATTTTAAGTATCACCCTTCTAGCCTCAGTTTTTTCTGTTTCCCTGAAGTGTAAGGGGAAGTTCCATGCTGCCTCCTGGGTTTTATCCTGGGCAGCTCTGGCTTTCTTGCTCCCCACAGAGGCCTGAGGCAAGCCATCACTGAGACGGAAGACTTGCTGAGATGCTGTGGAATGCCCATCTGGTCACCGGCAGTTTGGGCAAGTTGCCTTTTCTGGGTTTGTGGTGACGGAAGGGAGCCTGAGAGGCACAGACTGTGTGCCACGGGCAGCTGCCGGCAGCTCCAAGCCCCGGTCCTGAGGATCCTCCTCACCATGGTCACGTGCCTTAGTAACTGTGCCCAGGAAGTGGCTGCTGCTTGCTGCTCCACTGCTCTTCCTACTTCTGCCCTTTCTTGCTCACCCCTCCACATGTCCCAGCTGACAGATGACTCCAGCTCTAGCACCCTGGGGAATGGCTGAGGAACGGTCCACACACGTCCCCCAACCTTACTGGCCTGAGGTGGGTGAATGACTGTGAAGTTTCTGGACTCCAAGGCACCTTTAGACTGAAGTCTGGGGCTCAGGGCCCTTGGAGGAGCCCCAGTGTTGAGGGAGTGGGCATGGTGCTCCAGATACTTCTGCTGGGGGAATGCCAACAAGCCAGACGGAAAAGCTCAACCAGGCTGCTATCATCTTCAAAAGATGTGGCATTATGGAATGTTTGTCTTTCCTTTGATATATTTTGAAGCACCAGGGCTGGGAAACTTTGAAGCTGACCCTGTGCTGCATCTCTCCTCCTCCTCCTCCTCAGAGCCTCCATGTTTGGGGTGGTAAAAATAATAAAAATCCCAGGATAATTTCAGTAGCTGACCTAACAGGGTTAGCTCCAGGCATGGGTGGCCTTGAAAATTAGGGGACTGACCTTCTCTCAGCCAACCTCCTGCCTCCACTCTCACACAATGCACTTTACTACCCACCATTCCCTGGCTTCTTGCACTCACATGGAGTCTTCCTTCCTCTCAGGGTAAGGGCAGTGCCTGCTATGCCTCTTTAACCACTCCCACACGTTTCTCCCCTTCGATCAGGGAGCCCTCTCAGGCTGTGCTCAAAGCCCAGGCAAGAGATGAACAGGTTGGCAGAGGTGCTGGAACATAGCATACTAGTGAGGGACCTGTCCTTGGCCTAAGAAGAGGCCATTTCCAGGCATGTGCCTGCCAGCAGCTGCTGGCACTGGGTCCATCTGGAGGGGTAGGGTCTAACAACCCCAAAACCCCAACTGCCTCACCACACAGGGCTCTCCACCCATGGGGGCCCTTGTCTTCCTCCAAAGAAAAACAACGTGGAGGCAAGCGAGGGGAGCTTAAGTCTCACTGCTGAGCCTTCAGCTTTTTTTCTCCAATCTTCCAAAACCTGAACTCTATTCTAGAATATTAAAAAAAAAAAGGAAGCTCTTACCCCTTTTTATCTTACTACTCTGGTTTTTTCCCCTTAAGAGATGGCACTTTTTGTTTTGGGTTTTTTCAGCCTGCCTTCTTCTGAGACCTCCTTCCATCTCACCCTCCGTTAACCTGGCCTTTGGGATGACAAGCCCAGACTTGCCTACCTGGTAGGAAAGAAGTCAGAAAAAATCCAAGCCTCAGCGCCTCCTCCCATCTTGTCACTGGCTTTGATGAGGCCCACCTCACCAAGGCTCCTGTGTGCCTGTGGGTGCAGGAGCTGACATGTCAAATTGCTGCTGACGTCTCGGCCAGCTTACTGTAGCTATTTCTCTTTCCCCCAAAGCGGTTTCTTAACCGTCAGCCATGTGCTGCTGTTTTTTGGGCTTCTGGGCTTTGTCCCTTGCTGAGGATTAGGGACTCCGCAGCTGCTTTGTGGTGGGGCCTGGCTGAGAGACAAAGGCAGGTGGGGGAAGAACTGTGGCTACAGCTCGGCTTTCCCAGGCTGACCTCGAGGGGAGTCCAGAGAAGACTTAGTCCAGGAGAAATGGTCAGCACCAAAGGACTCTTAAAAACTTTTTTTTTTTTGCACACTTGAGCTGACTCAACGCAGGTTTTATATTCTGGTGACTTGTCACATGCTAGCGACTTTGAAGGGCCAGTATACAGTGAAAATCACTTAAAATTTCCATCCCTTTCAATGCCTTAGTTTAGCAGGTCGGCTCTATCTTTCACCATTTCTGTGTTTTGTGTACTGTGCTCCCATTTCACTGGGTGTGAACTGTGAGATGGACTGAGTCCTGGCCACTTCGTGAGTTTGTTTGGTTTTATAAGGCATTTCAGTGTACATTCTACAAACACTCCGTTTTTAAACAAAACAAAACCTAAACTAATAGTGTCTTCCCCATTCATCTTGCCCTCCTCCTTCCACCCCCAGCTTTAAAGTTCTGTGGAGAAGCTAGCTGGCCAACAGACAAAGGTATACTCTTCCTGCTTCATTAGTGGTGGCACAGGAAAGACAGCACCGGCCTTTCTTCCTCTCCCAATCCTAGCTGAGCTCTCAAACCATTTGCTTCCTACATAACAATGTCGCCTCCATTTCCAGAACATCGTTGCATAGAGAATGGAATATGCTGCAAACATTTCTACATCCTTGGCGCCCCTCCCGCCCCCCACCCCAAAAAAAAAAGAAAAAAGGACCTAGCAGGGGAGTGGCATGCAAGTTTCACAGCTTGATCCCAGATGTGCTTGCCAAAGACAGGCTGGGAGCGTCTCTCCTGGGGCCTCCTAGGTCTCCTGGCTCCTAGCATAGGGGCGGTCGTTACTGGTGCCCCAATGAGGGGCTTGGAGAGTGTTTTGCTTGGCAGACATTTGGGCTGAGTGGTGCAGTAGCTGGTTCCCCAGAGAGGGAGAGGCAGCAGGCCCAGCTTTGCTGGGAAGTAGCTCCTCTTAATTTCCAGTTGAAAACCTAGTGGAAATTTGAATGAAAACCCCGAGATGGAAGCCTCTGCCAAGCAGCAGAGCTAGCTAGAGGGGGCATAGAGACAAAGCACACAGATTGGCAAGCAGGGAGAAGAGATGAGCAAGGGGTGGCGTGGCAGCCCACTTCACCCTGCCCTGATTTCTTTCTGTCACACCACTATGAAATCCTTTGCAGAATGGTACTCATCTATAATGGTTTAAAACAACACGTGCATAATTGACTCTGTGCAGGATGTCAAACAGTCAGTTTGGATTTGCTTTATTTTAAATATATATATATGTATATTGGTATCCTGTACATTGCAGTGGGTGTGAAGATAGTATTTTAATGTTTGTATAAAGTTTAATTTAATTTTAATTGTTCTATGTATATAACTGCATTTCTAAATAATAAAAAAAAAGTTCTTATGAAGGCCATTGTGGGAGATGTGATCCTTCCAAAAAGCTTTTGCTGAAGTTGTAGATTGAAAAGAGCTTATGTGAGTAGGAGCTCATGAAGGAATGATGCAATAATCTTCGGAAGAGGGAGGTGCTTGGCAAGAGGTGGAGAAGACAGGACATCCCTGTGATATAAGGTAGAAAGACCAAAACACACTTGAAAATATATTCCTCTCTTGCTGCTCCTAGCTGTTCTTTTTTTGTTGATTCAGTCATTCATTCAACAAACATTTTATAAGTGTTCTCAGTGTGCCAACCACTGCTCAAAGCTGGGATTCAGTAGTGAACAAGACAAAAGTGGTTTAGCCTGCCTGGAATTTCTAATGTGCTGGGAAAGCAGAATAATATGCAGTGATTGTTATGATCAGGGAAATGTAAGTCACGATGCGAGGCAGCCTGAAAACACCTTTTAGATGAAATAACATATGAGATATGAAGAGGCAGTAAAGCTAGGTTAAGAGGCAGGACACTACATGTGTGTAGGTGCAGAGACAGCAGAAAGCATATTTAGTCTGAGAAACGAAAGGGAATCTAGCATAGCTACACGACATTGCTGAAGGGAGAGTGCTTCAGGATGAGCCCAGATAGGTAGGCAGGGGCTATAGATCATGGAGGCCCTCACAAACTGAATTGGGAAGTTTGCCCTTCATCGAAAAGTTAACAGGGTGTTTGCTCTTCAGCGAAAGGCAATTAACAGAGTGACTTAGTAAAATCTTTTTTTGGGGAGGGGCTGGATAAAGAGTCTCCATCTGTGGAGAATAGATTTAGGGGGATAAAGCATACTGTCCCTGGAGACCATGTAAGAGGTGTTGGTCTTGTCTAAGTGAGAGACAGTGATGGTTTGCACTAGGATGATAGCAGTGGGGATGGAGGGAAGTTGGGTTCAAAAGGTGTTTTTTAAGAAGGTAGAATCAACAGGGTTTGGTGACTGATAGGTTGTAAGGAAGAAGGCGTCAAGATTACCCAGTCTTTTCTCTTGAGCAGCTGGGTGACTAGAAACACAATCAGATGGGGAAATGGAGGAGACAGTTTGGGAGGAGGGGGAATGACAGGCTCAGTTTTGCAATGGCTGAGTTTGAGGTGCCTAAGTAACATCCAACTGGAGATGTGTACTAGGCAGCTGGGTATTTGCATGCAGAGCTCAGAAGAGAGACCTGACAGACACGAATGGATGATAATTAAAACATGGGAGCAGATGAGAAACATTTGAAGAAGAGAAAAAGGAATGGACAGAGGAAGAAAGAAGTAGGATGTGTCTGGAAGCTAAGAGAAGGAAGGACTTGATAATAGACACAGATGCTGCTGGGAGAGGAGGCTGTCCATAACCGTGGATTTAGAGATGTGTAAATGTTTGGTAACTTTAATGAAAGCAGTGTCAGCCGACTGGTGGGAACGTTCCAGAGTGGAGAGGGTTGAGGTAGAGGTGAGTAAATGGAGTCCTTGAAGAAAGGGAGGAGAGAAATAAAGGGTTGAAAGGGACCTTTTTGTTTGTTGTTATTTTTAATGGGAAGATTTAAGTTCATCTAAATGTCAGTGTAGAGGAGAGGTGTTGAGGTTGGAGGGGAAAGGCCAGGGAGAAGGTGGTGGTTGCGGGTAGGATCCTATTCTGTTACAGATACTGTGTGAGGGTTATAAAGACAGAACTCTGGAACCAGACAGCCTCGGTTTGAATCCTAGCCCTGATTACAAGCTGTGGGGTCTTGAGCAAGTTACTTGGCTTCTAGGTCTCAGTTTCCTCATCTGTAAAATGGAGATAATAGTACTTACAAAGCACTTACTATGTGCTGGGCTCTGTTCTAAGTGCTTTAACTTATTTAATCCTCACAACAACCAGGCACTGTGCTCAGGGGGGAGATACAAAGAGGAAAAGGCAGAGAACCTACAGATGATGAGGTCTTTAAAAGGTAGGGGGATTGACAGTAATCAAGCAGTTAGAACAGTCTGGTAAGGGTGTGAGGAGAGGTATGTACAGGGTACTTTCTAATAAAAATCAAATCACTCTCAAGCTTGTCCTGGGGATGTGTTTCTTTAATGTGCAATGTCATGTGGGAACATATTTTAAGGTCATTTCTGTCAACCACCCAATCTTAACCTCAGTAGCACCAGCCCTCAGTAGAGTCCGGCCAACCATCACTGCCATTAGTTTCGAGGAGAGTGGGAGGAAGAGACCTATGGTTTACTGAACACTTTACCAACTTTTAAAAGTAATGGTAATAATAGCTGATACTTCTTGAGTGCTTGCCATGTGCCAGGCACGGTTCTAAGCACTTTATGTATGTAAACTCATGGAATCCACACAGCAAATCTACAAAGGTAGGCACCAATATTTATTGCTAGTAGGTCCATAGTGCAGATAATGAAATTGAGGCATAAAGAGGTGGTGTAACTTGCCCAAGTTCATACAGCCGATAGTGGAGCCAGGATTCAATTCAAACCCAGGTAGTTCGCCTAGAAGGCCCTCTCCTCATGTTTAATCAGACACTGCCTGCTTCTCAAGGCCTCCTCACAAGACCCTCACAGAGCAGGCATTGCCAGCTTCATTCTGAGGAAAAACTGCTTTCAGAGCAGGGAAATGGCATACTTTTCACTAGGATAATAAACTACTCATCTCAAAAAATGGGGCATGCTCAGCGTGGTGTCACAGGAGGAGGCATTAAACTATGCAGACCACGATGTGAAATAAGTTCACAAAGCAGCAGGAATTGCTCCTCCACAAGAGAAGCTACTTGTTTCAGTGATAAGTCTCTGTCGCTGGAAAAGAGGGGCTGAAACGTGTTCCATCAGGTAAGGAATGCTCGGACACAATACTGTGGGAGTGGAGCGAGCCCGAGGAAGGGAGACATGTCAACAAGATAGCCAGATGACGGTTTTGCAATTCTCAACGACAAGTGAGGGGCAAAGGTAACAAGCCCACAAAACCAGCAGAGCTGCTGAGGAAAAGGGCCATCTTTGAAGTGGTTGCTTCAGGTTGTGAAAAGTGAGGGAGAGGAGAGAAAAGGGATTTCCTGCCCTGCTGCTGAACCCCTAGCCCCTAGTTTGGAAAGTTGAGGCCCCTAGAAAACAATAAAAGTAGTAACAGTCTCTCAGGTGGGTCTTTCTCAGATTACTTTCAAATATCTTTAAGTGCACAAAAGTAACGTGTTCATTTCATAAAATTTGAACAGAAAATTAAAATCACCCATAATACTACCATCTACTGGTAATGTTGTATATACTGTCTTTTTTGAATATATTCCCCTTTCAAAAATGATCACTTTGTAATGGTATTTTATCTGCTTTTTAAAAAACTTTACAATCTATTGCGATCTCATAAAGCATTCTTCTACATCTTTTTTAATGCATAATTTTCTATCAAATTGGTAGTTTGAACTTTTAGGTTGCCAAAATTTTTGTGACTTTTATGACCAATGCTTTGATAGCATTCTTAATTATTTCCTTAGGATAAATTACGAGAAATGGAATTGCTGGGTCAAAAGAAATGCACATTTTAATGGCTTTTGATATATTTCAAATTGCCCATCAAGAAAATTATTCCAAATTATACTCTCATTGGCGGAGAGTTCATTTTCCCACAACCTCACCAGCACTGGGAATTATCATTTAAGAAAACATGCTAGTTGAAAGGTAGAAAAATGGTAATGTTTTAATTTACATTTGTTTGATTATTCTTGAGGTTTAATTTTTTAAATATTTTTTTCTTACCCTTTATAACAAAGGCATATTGAAAATAGACGGGGAGTCCAAGTTTGAAGTGAAAAGTCAAAGCAATGATTCCTCCTCCAAATGAAACGTGTAGTATATTTATAATAAATGTCAGGTGCTGTCGAGTTGTTTTCAACTCGTAACCCCATGTGACAGAGTAGAAGTGCCCCTAGGGTTTTCTAGGCTGAAATCTTTACGGAAACATATCACCAGGTCTTTATCCCGCAGAGCCACTGGGTGGATTCGAACTGCCAACCTCTTGGTTAGTAGCCAAGTGCTTAACTGTGCCATCAGGGCTCTGTTTATAATATATTTATATAAAACCTGTAAGCTGCAGAGACTATGGGATATATTACCACTAGGGCTTGAGACAGAATTCCTCATTATTAATAAAGTTTCCCGGGTAGGTTTTCATTCCTACTTGAGAGGCAAACATTGTGAAAGCACTTGGCACAGTCTTGAGAAATTTTCTTTGGAAAAGTAGCTGCGATTGATTTGGATTAAAAAAAATAAACAGACATGGTCACCAAGGTTTAACTGGATGTGTGTCAGTGGGGTGGCAGTGTTTGGGCATAAAAAGAAGCAGCAACAAAGGGAAATCAACTGGGGAGCAAGCCCTAGGGCTTTGGTGTGGTTAGGAGTCTCTGAGCTCCCAGAAGGAGTGGTTTGGATTATATTTCTGGAAAGGACAGACATCTGAGGGCAACACTGAAGAGATAAGGAAATATGGTAGTAGCTCCAAAAACCAGCAGTCTAGGGAAGAAGGCAATGAAAGCTGAGATAAGGGAAACAGTCTACCTGTAAGTGCGAAACTCTGTACTGCAGGCATTGCAGCCATTCAGCAGAGAGGTGAGGAGGACAGGAACACAGCGGGGAGTGATGGGAATGCAGTTAGGGAAGCCAAAAGCAAAAGATAGTTGGCAACATAAATGGACTGATGTTGATGACAAGCCATCTATTGAGTGCTTACGTACCAGGTGCTCTTCTAGGCTCGTGACATGCAGTAACTCCTTCAGTCCTCACAACCACAATGTGGATGATTAACCTTATTTTATAGATGAAAAAAATAAGGCTCAAAAAAGTGAAGTAAAATTTTATTATAAGGTCACACAGTTCTGAAGTGATGGAAGGTGAAATTCAAGCCCAGCTCTGTGTCACAGCCCAGTCTCTTACTTACTCTCTGCATCAAAGAACACCACTACCCAGAACACTGAGGTTTCTTTATGTTGCAAGAACAGAAAACCCAACTTCAACTGGCTTAAATCTCAAATGGAATCTATAGACTTGTGTAACTCAACAGCCCAGAGAAAATGGCTTCAAGTGTGGCTTAAACAAGGCCTGGACAATGGGGCCAGGACTCAGTCCATTTCTCTCCATTTCTCAGCTCTGCTCCCTCAGGGTTGATTCCACTCGCAGGCAAGCACTCCCTTCCCCTTCGCGGTCCTGGAGGCTGCTGCCAGCAGCTCCCAGGGCTCCCTTCCAGTTCACTTCCTAAGAACCAGAGCAAGTCTCCACAAGTGGTGATGCCCAAGAAAGAAGAGGAGGTGTTCCCCAAAATCCCGGCAGACAAATCCTCTTCTCGGATTGGAAGAGCCAATCACCATGTCCAGGGGATGGGCTCTATTGACTGGTTTTAACCAATCGTAGTTGATTCTTGAGGTGGGGAGAGAGTGGGGTCAATCCCTTTCAGCATGGCTGAGAAAGAAGGAAATTTCTTCCCGCTGGGAAATTAGGGTCCTGATGATGGGAAAAGGAGGTACTACAGACCAGTGAGACAAAAAATGAGGCTTTCTGGGGAGCTTCTTGAGTCCTGCTGTTGGGAGAATGCCAGGCCTCACTTTGAAGGTGGCCTAGAAACTGGTTCCTGCTGTTTTTCTGGGTGAGAAATCTGACTGGAAAGTATCCAGGATGGAAGGGTGATTGGTCTTGGTTGGGAGCTGAGACTGTGACTTACCCCATTACATAGGAGGCCTTTGCTGGTTGCTGGAATGTCTTCTTTCACAAATGAGAAAAGTGAGATGCAGGCAGATGACGATACCTAGATGAAGTCAGACATATAGCACAGGAAGTTTAGTCCCTAGTTCAGAGTTAGGGGAAGTAAGAGGAAACCACCTGGCACCACAAATCAACTTCCTGACTGCAGTGTGATGGATTGCTTTTATATGGCCTTTCTAGCCGTGGGCTTGTAGCTTCCACAAAGTGATTGAGTGGGACTATGCAAATAATTGTGCTCAAGTGCAACCTGTACATAGACCAAGAGGCAGTCATTCAAACAGAACAAGGGGATACTGTGTGGTTTACAATCAGGAAAGTTGTGTGTCAGAGTTGTATCATTTCACCATACTTATTCAATCTGCCTGCTGAGCAAATAATCTGAGAAGCTGGGCTATATGAAGAAGAATATGGCATCAGGATTGGAGGAAAAGTCATTAACAACCTGCGATATGCATATGACATGAGCTTGCTTGCTGAAAGTGAAGAGGACTTGAAGCACTGGCTGACAAAAAGTCTACAGCCTTCAGCATGGATTATATCTCAACATACAGAAAACAAAAATCCTCACAACTGGACCAATAAGCCACATCATGATAAACAGAGAAAATATTGAAATTGTCAAGAATTTCATTTTAGTTGGATCCACAATCAATGCCCACGGAAGCAGCAATTAAGAAATCAAACAGTGTATTGCACTGGGCATCATCACTACCTGCTATAAAAGACCTCTTTAAAGTGTTGAAAAACAAAGACGTTACTTTGAGGACTAAGGTGCACCTTACTCAAGCCATGGCATTTTCAATTGCCTCATATGCATGTGAAACTTGGACAGTGAATAAGGAAGATCGAAGAAGAA